ATTCATTCCTTGAATCGTGAAATCCATTTCACTCCTGTAGAATGCAGCTTCAGCAGGTGTTAAGGACTCTGAAGTGCATTTAAGAACTCAAAGGGGTAGGCCAACGTCAGCCAAGCTGTACAAGCAGCAGTAGCTTCTCATGATGAGTAACTACAGATAGGAGCAGGCCGAAGCATAAAGTTGGGCAGGAGCCCAAAGAGGAGGCCTGACAAACGACAATAAATAGAATTTAGACTAGGGAGTAGATTATTGTATTTGCTACTGAAGACATTTCTTAATGTACTCTCCTAAAACTCACTCTTTCAAAATAGTGACATTAATTTGCTAACACTGACACAGCCTAAAAATTATATACTCTCTTCAAGGACTTTGAAAAGAGGCCCACACTTTCCTAACTAGATATTTTTATACCTGAGATATATATTTCCTAATTCAGCACTAAGAGTAAGAAAAGTAAAAAGGAGATATTTCAAGTCTTCTTCCTGAAGAGTGACTCCAGAGGTTTCTTATAACCCAAGTAATGCCCAAGCTCCTATAAAATCCGAATATGAGTATCTCACCCAACCTAACCGCTCTGCAGGAGGTAAAGTAGAATAATTACAGAGTGACCAAAGAACTGTGGACTGCCCCTAAAATCTCTACTGAGAAACCTCCCAAGATGGCTCAAGCTGAACACCACAGGGCAGAGCTCAAACCTGCACACGTTCTTTCCAAACCTTTTCAGAGCTATCTCAGTGGTACTTCTTAGGAAGTGTGCCTACTCTGCACAGTAAAACCATTCGAAACCCAGTTTTAAATATCTACCATTTAATAGACTATTTTGCTCAATACAAATATTACTAAACTCAGAGTGAAAAAAAGCAAATTAAGACAGTATATGCTTGAAGTTAAATGAGGCCAACCCCCTCTAAAAGCTGTTTTAACCCACATTATAAATACGATGTCAGTGGACCAAAACAAAAGTAGAGGTGCCTTGTTTTTAGATCTGCCTATCAAATTTTTAAATTTATACTTCATCATCATGTATATTCATTCACTTTTAAAACATGCTCATACTTTACTGCTCTATGATCAGGACAGGGAAGAATTTCAGATTAAACTGTCCAATAACTAGTTACCAAATAATTTCAAAAGCTTTTATAGCAACACGTTCAGTAAAAATCTTGTGTAAGACAGACAGACCCTTGAATAAGTTCCATGACCAAATAAAGACAGAACTATAAATCAAACAGTTGTTTTTACTGCTAGAATTTTTACTGTTCCTAATCTTCTGATGATCTGCAGTGTGGATTTTAATAGTCAACTGTGGAGTGCAGCATTCTCAAACTTGTGTCTCAAAGGAACCTCATTTTAAGGAATAATTATGACTATGTCATAAGAAGAAGGCTAAAAAGCATCTTCCAATCTTATACACTGTTGGTGGGAATGCAAATTAATAGAGCCACTATGGGAGACAATACAGAAGTTCCTCAAAAAATTAAAATCAGAACTGCCATATGATCCAGCAATTCCACTACTGAGTATATACCTAAAAGAAATGAAATAAGTGTGTAAAGATTATTGCATTCCTGTGTTTATCACATCACTGTTCACAACAGACAAGACCTGGAATCAACTCAAGTGTCCTACAGATGAATGGATACAGAAAATGTAGTAATATACACAATGGAATATTTTTCACCCATAAAAAAGGATGAAATCCTGTCATTTGCGGCAACATGGATAAATCTGGAGGATATATGTTAAAATAAAATAAGCCGAGCACAGAGAGACAAATGCCACATGACAGTCATATGCGAACTATAAAAAGGTGATCTCACAGAAGTAGAGAGTAAAATAATAGTTACCAGGGACTGAGGAAAGGAAGGGAGAGGGAGGAAGAAAGAAAGAGACTGGTTAGTGGGCACAGCGTCACAGATAAAAGGAATGAGTTCTGGAGTTCTACTGCACAGAAGCATGACTATGGGTAAAAACAGCCATGGTGTATTTTAAAATAAAAGAATAGACTTTGAATGTCCTCACCACAAAGAAATGATGAGTATTTGAGATGACAGAAATGCCAAATAGCCTACTTGATCATTACACAATGTATATGTGTATCAAAATTCATTGTAACCCCTAAATACGTATAATTTTTATGTGGCAATTAACAATATATAATCATGGCTGGGCACAGTGGCTCACACTTATAATCCGAGCACTCTGGGAGACAGAGGTGAGAGGATTGTTTGAGATGAGAAGTTCCACATCAGCTGGAGGAAGAGAAAGACCTCATTTATACTAAAAAAATAAAATCATCCAGGCATGACCATGTAGTCTCAACTGGGGAGGCAGGAGGATTGCTTAAGCCAAAGGTCCTCAAACTTTTTAAACAGGGGGCCAGTTCACTGTCCCTCAGACCACTGGCAGGCCAGACCACGGGCCCTGGGACCAGTCGGCTGCTAAGCAGGACAGGAAGCAGAGGCAAAAACACCTGGCAGGCCAGATAAATGTCCTCTGCAGGCCGCATGTGGCCTGGGGGCCGTAGTTTGAGGACACCTGGCTTAAGCCTAGGAGTTTGAGGTTGCAATGAGCTATAATGATGCCAACCTGGGGCAAAAGAGGGAGACTCTGTCTCCAAAGAAATATAAAAATAAAAATATATAATACATCATAAAAAAAGAACCTTTTGACACTCGTGCCTACTCATGGAATTCTGGGATACACCACTTGCTTATCAAACTTTTTTTTTAGAGGCAGAATCTCACTTTGTCACCTTTAGTTGAGTGCGGTGGAGTCATTCTCACAGCAATGTCCAACTCTTGGGCACAAGCGATTCCCTTGCCTCAGCCTCCCACGTAGTTGGGACTAAAGGCACCTGCCACAACGCCTGGCTATTTTTAAAGATGAGGTCTCGCTCTGGCTCAGACTGGTCTCAAATCAACCAAATATTTTTAACAGAAATTTTACTATACTCATAATCTCCATTACCCCCCTTCTCTCATGAAAAGGTAATGGGTGGGGGTCAGTGGCTGAAGGAAATGGACAACAAATACTAACACAGCTTTTCAGTGTCTAACTGTGTGTCTCAAATTACCCATGTGGGGTTCTTCTACCACGGTCCACTACACTAAAACCACACAGGCAAAAATTAAAGACGCAGAACTCAAATTTATCTCATTTCTTACCATACAGTTCTAGAAAAAGGTTCATAGAAGAGCATATTTTAAGATTGACCACAGAAGAATGACAGAAATCTGTGAGATGTTTCCTATGGTAACCGCCTAACACAAGAATGATGTTCTACTTGTTTAATATTTTCACCTACTACTCCTGGTCTAACAAAACATGTAACTTTATGCTCTGTTCAAGTACTTTTTTAGGTGGAAAGAGTAGCTACTAAGCAATAAAACCAGATATCACATCATTTATGTCCACAACCTCCATGCCATTTATCACATTTTATCATTTATGTCAAAGAGATTGCAAAATACACATGTAAAGGATGTTGTTTTGCATTAAATATATATTTCATATAAATATATATATATCATCTATAAACTCAATGTTAGAACAAAAGACATGACAAGAGCCACTGATTCTCTACCTTTTCTAACTTAGTGAAAACTATTTCTTTATAAATTTCCCATATGCTGACACACTGCTTTTGTAAAAGAAACTGAAAAATCTTTTTCATTTAATTTTCAGTGTTCAAGAAAATAAGAACTTTCATGACAGCATAGTGAACATCTCTGCAATATTAAGTAGCTAAAATAATTATTTGGTACAGATGGATGACAAAAAGCTGTTACTTGATTTCAATGATTAAGTTCTCTGTGAGCTTCAATCTGTAGTTTGAGGAAATATATTTGACGGTGAGGACAAGCCTATGTATATGTTGGCTCTAAGAACTACACTCGGAGACCTTCGAGAGGATAAGTCCTGCTGTTTTGATTAATAGAACAGCTAAAATGTATCATTTCAGAAAAAGTCAAAAATGGCCTTACGTGACCTAGTGTGACCCCTTTTTTCTCTGCCCTTTACCTAATTTTACCAATGATAACCTACAGTCAAGAGCTAACTTGTCCAAGGTCACAGGACTGTTAATGAACTCAGACTCCTGGTTTCGTTCTACACAATACCTTTGTAAGTATCCTTTACTCATTTCAAACATTCAGGTTTATGTTTTAGGGTTCTAAGGTATGTAAAGCAATTTGATACACACTACCACCAAATTTAATAATAAAATTATTATAATGAAGCCATGGGGTCTGTCTACATATAACTTGATATACATAGTGTCTGAAAACAACTCCTATAAGAAGCATTATCCCTTAACATGCCCCTTAACAACTAGGTTTCGGTGCCCTCTAAAGCTTTAGTCAAATCTTTAGAAATATTAAAGAGATTTTGTACTACTTAATATTCAAAATGTACCATCATTAAGGCCAAGTCATGAAGACTTTCATTCTTATCTTGATAGTAAAAGACAGCATTCATACACTGTACTTTTTCTTTTCCTTGTTAAGGAACAGAGCATAAGATCTCGTTACATGCAAATTATATTAGTGTAAATGTTTACACACTGACAATGTGAATATTATCATTTCCCTTATCACATATATTATAAGCAGAAGGACTTTACTCCAAGGAAAGGACATTTTAAGGGGTGTGTTGCTCTCTCCCAAATACAGTATTCTTACTTATCACTATGGAATTGCTAAATCTCATATGCTCAGAAAATTAAAAAATAAAGGTTAATATGACATGTGCTACCCCAGACACGTTTGCACCCTTTGAAAACATTTTCCATGGAATTTCAGTTAAAATACATACTGCCCAAAAAATACTTTATGCTTTAAAGGAGAAACTTAAAACTAAACTTCAAATTGCTGACACAGTAACAGAAAATCTAGATGTATAAAACCACAGCACTGAACAATTTACAAGTAGTAAACTTATTTTCTCCTATCTTAAAACATAATCCTTTAAATGTGAGTCATTTATACAAAACTACATACCTGTTATTTTGTCTCTTACAAGCTTACAGGACTCTATCTCACCAATGCTCCCAAAAAGACTCTTTAGCTCTTCCTGTGTCATGTTCTGAGGAAGATAGTTGACTATTAAGTTGGTCTTGCTGTCCTCTGTATTCCCAGAGTCAACTGGTGATGAGCAGTTGTTGTTTATGGTGGTTGGACCATTGGCTGTGTTATTGCAAGTTGGCCCATTAGACAGTTGTGTTTCCATGGCAGCAATTACCTGCTAAAAACAGAGAAAATAAGAAATGTCAGAATTCATATTTCGCAACCTATTAGAGATTCCATCCAAGTATTTAAACACTTGTCACTAAACACAAGTCGTTCTGCTGAAATTACAATAAAGCTTCAACAAAAAGCATAACACCTACACTGATTTTTCACTTCATATTAAGCTATTCAACTTAAGATTATAATTATACTTTCATATACATATTGCACACATGCACATAAGCATAATTTAAATCTTAAAACTTTCTAGACTTGCATTCTGGGTCTATTCAGATACCCTTACTTACCTGCAGTATTCACAGATGAGAAAACTTAGTATGCCAAAGGGCACAGAATTGTACCCTGAAAAAAAATCATACCAGAAATAAAAGTATGCTAAACATGCTACCAAAAAAAAAAAAAAAGACCTGATGCTGAAGAGATTTTCAGTTAGCCTAAGAAGTTCAATATTCTAAAACTGACAGACATCTATTAACTTAAAAATCAAGGAGTAAATGCACTTTAAAAAATACAAAATTGTCAACATGTACTGTTTTGGTTACATATTGAAAATGTTTTTGATTGACAATTATCTTGTATCTCTACCATTGGTAAGAAAAGAATAAATGTTTTATGTTAGGGAGTGAAAAGGATTGATAGGATAACTTGGGAATGAAGCTATGAATACTTTATCTACCTTAAAAGGCTATTTCTTGTCAACCTTGGCATCTAAAGATCACCAACAAGGCAACTGATCTACAGCATCAAAATAAAATCCCCAAACAGTTAATTCAATATGGCATTTTGCCTTGACTCTGATTTTAAGGAGAAAAAAATTTATCCAGTCCACCAAAACAACAATGTAAATATATCAACTTTTGTGAACAGACCAGCCCAAGAAATTTTCATTTGAGCACATAAGCCTGTTGAAAATTCAAGCAATAAGGTATCTATCTATAACCTCCAAATACCGGATAAATAACAGAGCTGGGGAAAATGGCCTAATAGTGTTCAGGCTACTCTAAAAAATCACTTACTAAGCAATTTTGGATCTCGCTTCCTAAAAACCAATCCTATGCTCTTTGAGCAAAACAGTCACAAACACTGCCCCAAATTTTCCAAAAGCATTTTCCAATATCTCTATCATTTTGGAGAGTTGAGACTGGGGGGGGGGGGATCCAAAAATCAGATCAGAATTATCACTGAAAAGATTATCCTCATTTCATAGAATATATCTTTTAGCTCCACAAAGAACTACTCAAAACTGACAATTGTGAATTCACGGGATGCTAGTTTTAGGGAAGTTTTAACATGGAAAAGGCAAAGAATTTAAGGCACAGGAAAAAAAAAAGCAAAGTAAAGGGAAAGAGGGTTACAAGGAAAGAGAAAAAAACTGTGTTTTAAAAAGCATATTGTCTAAGAAAAATAAAAGAACACATGCGCAGATAAACATATAGGAAGAAATCTCCACTGCCAAGAGATGTGTATAAAAGGTGGCAGCACAGGACAGATTGAGACTGGTCAGCTGACCAGAATGAGACTGGTCAGACTGAACAAGAATCAGTGCTGTCATGAATTAAAAATTAAAAACAAAAAAACACAGGAGACAAAATCCAGAATACCAAACAACCTACAACCCCTTCACGACTTCATTTCCTTTCCAAAGAAATGGGTATTTATTCTACAAGCTGCAAGCTACATTTCTTGGATACATACTCTCAGGGAATGCTTAAGGGGGTAAATTAAAACAAAGAAACCTTTGGAAACCAGTTATTAAAAATATCGAAAGTAACTAAAGACATGGGCTTTCTTATAATTAACAAATCTATGTGAAACTAAGAAGGGAAGCTTCAGGTTTCCTCATCAAGCATAACTGTTCCAGTTTGTAGGATATTAACTGTGGACCACTCTTCCCACAGCAAAACTCTTCTGGGGTTAACCTTTGCCCAGCAGTTATGAAAACAATGAACTACAAAAAGAAAAGTGACCAAAGCCAATTAAAACAAATGGCTATTCAAAAGTTAGGGTGTGACCAGAAAACTATGAGAACCCCAAATGTGAGATTTGGACTAAAGCTCATTGGGATGGCATTTGAAATATAAAGTGTTCATTGACTGAAATTAGCAAGATTTAGAAAGGACAACAAACACTCCTCACTTAATTGCAGATTTATTTCCATGTTCAGGTGGCAAGAATGAGCTCCTAAGCCAACATTCAAGTGAACAGCTGCAGTAGGCTGTGTGAGCTGAAAATTACAGCATCTCTCAGCTATAGGACCATCTGCTCAGAATAAAATGATACTAATGTGCTATATTTTACAAATAATGCATATTCCATTGATAGGCTCAACACAACTGTTCACAGAATGCAAACTCTTTCAACAGTTACTGGGCAAATAGTTTTCAGCCAGATTTACAATTTCAACTTTTTTTTTTTTTTTTGGAGCATCAGGAATATGTGAATAACTTCAAAATTTAGTAACCAAAAAAATACATAGTAAACAGAATGTAAAGAATTACGGTAACTTAGTATTCAGACCATACCAAAACTTTTTTTGTTTTAAAAAATAACTTGTCACTCTTTGGAGTCTGATCTAAATCCTAATTTAGATTATAAAAAGTTACGTACAAGTGCGTGGTTCTGATGCTACATATACCACTATAGTTAAAATTCCAATGTGCTTTAAGTCCTAATGATGGCCATACCACAGTAGGTTAAATGTAAGAATAATTACTATGCCAAATGAAGAGTTCAAGTGTTTGGTATGGCCTCAGCACTCCTGCAACATGCTAAAAAAAAGCCTACATAATTTAAGAAAAATCCCACAGACCCCGGTCCAAGGCTCTGCTGCCCACGAACCACTTCTAAGCAGAGAAGCCACATCACACAGTCTGACTGCCATGTTAGTTTGGAGTTGCCGTCTGCAATATGGACACAAAAAGTACCGTATGTTAGATGAGCAAGATAATGCAACAAATCAGTTTGTACAAAATTTACAGTGATTGTATTGATATTCCCAGCACGTCCATGCAGTGTGGCTTAATTAAATTTGAGGCAATTCCAATCTAATCTTTCCAAATTCATTTTAACATGTAGTTTTCTTGCACAAATGTTAAAGCATTTTTAACTAAGAGCCTGATTTTAAAACAATACTAACTAGTTAACTTGGCATCTATCCTACAGAACTACCTTAAACCACATCTCAAAAATTAAAAAATAAAATAAAATGAAGCAAAATACCGCGTGCTGTCCTGCCTCTTAAGGATGTGGGAGAAGGGAGGAAATGTGAATGAAATTTTATAGTGAGAAAAAGCGGTCATGCAATTCATAAGTGACTGCTTTGCATAAAAGCACTCTTCCCCCCCAAAATATCAAAAGGGCATTAAGAGAAGCTGTGTTTGCCCACACTGTTACATTATACTACAAATGATCCTTAATCCTGAGACTTAAAATTAAAAGTGAATCGGAAACCCTGTGAGGTTATTTTGCTACTGTATTCAAACTGATCTCTAACAGTTTCATGGAGAATTGTTACCATATACTAAGAGGCAGTAAACCAGCATCTTTCAATTGAAATAATTGGACCAATAAATAGGATTGTTTGGAGTAATGCTCGTATAGGATGTCAGCTTTGTCCCTGAACGAAATCTAGTGAACATTTTTTAATATGTAAATTGTAAACCCAGCACGATTTGAAATTAGTGCTGCTATGAGGCCTCCAATATAGTTAATGGGCCATTTACCACTTATTACAACTTGCCCGAATACTAAACAGAGCCACAATACTGGCACAAAAGCCGAAGTTTACTTTTTAGCCACACACACAGTTGCTTTTTTAAATGGTCAATGTAATAATCAGAAAACTTAGTCTCTGAATATAGAGAAATAACAATGAATGAGGGCCAAAAACGTCTTATACTTACATACCATAGTTACATTACTTATAACTAAAAAAAACGTTATCCTTAAAGTAAAACCTGGCTGTAAATGATTTCTTCCTGACACTAACAACAACGGATTTCACTTTCTGGCACCCACTAAACGGGTTTAGCATACTCTGTGCAGGATGCCATGGAAATCTTTCACCTTTCTTCCCTTCTCCCACTGTAACCAAAACGCAGTCTGATCCTATGTTCTTGATGAAAAGAAAACAAACAAACAAACAAACTACAGTACTTATAGTTGAACTGAACTTGTGAAAAAGTAAAGTGCTTTATACCCATTAAAGACTCTGACAAAAACCCAATTGTGGTTGACCACATGAGTAGGACAGGAGGACCACACCCAACAGGTTAAACCAAGCCTAAATGTATGTCCTGAATACCCTTAGGAGCTAATATCTAAACATTCCTCACTACATTAAACCCTGGATTCTAATCTAATGTCCTCAGGCCCTTCTATACCATAGGAGGCGGATGCTAATAAGTCAATCTATTGACACCCCTCCTTCTGAAAGCCCCAGGGATGGGGACAATCACTGTATTGCACCAACTAGCTGGGAAAGCTGTAGATGGAAAATGATTCTTCTGCACTTTTACATTTCAAGCACCCCAGATAGTCTCTCCGCTTGAGGCAGACACATACCTTTATGGGAAGTTATAAATAAGTTGCTCACATGGCCCTTACCTTTATGCTGGCCAACAATTCAGTTACTAAAAATGTAAAGCTACTTCCCCTTCACTTAAGGACAGGCGATTCTGCTCTACTCAATCTACCACAGACAACCGGGCTGTGCACTATTTATAGATTCCACTGGCTCTGAAACTCTTTGGAAGGGAAAAAAAAGGCCATATTCCAGCAAAATAGAGCCATTAATTTTAAAGCTAAAAAAATAATGTTTCAATATATGGTCGCCTCTTAATCAAGACATCAATTGTGCCAATTCAGACTACTTTTCTTCCTGTTATTGCCGTGTAATAATTTATGAAAAGACACTTTAGCACAGATCAATCTAGAATATTCTAAACCTTCCCTAGGCTCCAAGAGATAATGGTGAAGTGTTAGTTTGGTGACATG